TATATTCATGTACTTAATATTAAAAGGAATTACTTTTTTGTTTATCTGAGCACTGATGTGTATATTCATGTACTTAATATTAAAAGGAATTACTTTTTTGTTTATCTGAGCACTGATGTGTATATTTCATGTACTTAATATAAAAAGGAATTACTTTTTTTGTTTTCCGAGCACTAATGTGTATATTTAATGTACCTCAAACCTAGCTTCAAGCTGAAGAAACAAACACAAACATCATTGGTGAAAACAATGGTAAGGAATGTACTGTAGTAAATATAACCATGACTGATGAAAATGATCATTTTCCTGAGTTTGAAAACATAACAGAAGCCAAGATCAGTGAAAATGCATCAGCTGGAGATTTTGTGGCAACTATCAGGGTATGAAGTGTTTACATTATTTCATTTATAGCAACAATCAGGGTATGAAGTGTCTACATTACTTCATTTAGTGATAGGACCAGCAAAGTTAATAGATGGTAATTAGTACAGTGGCTGGTTACTGCCAGAATAGTGTGTTAAATTTCAAGTCAAAAAGATGGTTTTTATTACAGAAAGAATAGTTTGGTAAACTTTAAGTCAATTGTATGGCTTTTAATTATGTCAGAATAGTTCGTTAAATTTCAAGTTTAATAATAATCCGTATGTATGTTGTTAATATCCACTAATCCCTTAGTGGGTCAGAGGTAAGTTTGTGGACCTACAACACTAAAATTGTGGTTCTATTCTCCACAGTGGACACAGTGCTGATAGCCCATTGTGTAGCTTTACATGATAATAATGTTTTGACATTGAAAGTCACGTGATGCTGCTAGCGCATGCGTGACTAAGTTACCCGGTAGAAATTTTTTCCAAAGAACTTCAGTGATACAAGTCCTTTCTTGATTAAATCAGTTTATTATTTCCCGATACAAACTTTTAGTACACAGTCATTCCACAGTCGATACGTTTCTCGTCACTTTCAACTTTACGACTTTTATAGTACATACTATAAATCACAGCAATTCACAACATCAATAACTTTGCTCTCTACAAGTGCAAAACATACACTAACCCGAAACTCGCCGTGACTACTTTTCACTTTATCATACATTCAATCCCACTTGCTTTTCTCGGCAGGCTTATATACTAACAAAGAGGCGTCTCGATCCCACTCGAGTTTCTCCGATAATTCGCAAATTAACAAACAAGCAGATATGCAACGATAACAATACCCACCAATTCCTAGGTATACTGTTAATACCCATCAATTCCCAAATATGTTTTTAATACCCACCAATCTTTGGGTATGTTTTTAATAACCATTAACCCTAGGCAGTTATTAATATAATAGGCAGACACTTATATGGAAAAAGTTTAAATAAAAATTTATCTTCCCACACCTGCTGAGATTTTTAGTGGACTGTATTTGACAATTTCAGACTCACTGGGATCACTGGCCTTATGGGAATAACTATAAGTTAGATCATATTTTATCTCACAATCATCAGAGTTGCATTGAGTGTGGAACCTTCTTGTCAGTGCCAAAATGATTTTACTTGCCTAGCAGGAAAACAGCTGTAAAGAAGTTAAGTCACCCACGTCCAGAAACAGTTCATTTTATGTTTTTCTTTTATTATAATAGAGAAAGAAAGAAAAATGTTAAACCTGGATGCAATTGAGGGTAATAGTTTATATTGGTGCAAAGAAGAAGATGTAATAGTAGCATTAAGTTTTAAATAATAAATTTCTGAGTAACAGAATTTCATTTTGATTTATGTTTTCTTTTTTTTAATATACTTCATGAACTAGTTACAATAATATGTTTCTAACGTTTTCCTTTTAGGCTACAGATAAAGATATGGATTTTTTTGGTACAAAAGGCATTCGATATTCTCTTGTGGATGGAAGTTTCTCAAAAAGGTAACAGAATTTTTCTCCTATACATCCTTCTTAAAATCAGGTAACAATTTTTCACATGTACATCCTTTTTAAAATATAGGGAACAGCATGTTTCATGTGTACCTCTTCCTCTAAAACAGGTAACATGATGTTTCTTCTGTACATCCTCCTAGAAAACGGGTGACTGAATGTTTCTTGTATACATCCTCCTTGAAAACAGGTAGTAGAATGCAGTGTTCTAGTGCTAAATAAAGAAGTGCCAGAACGTGTTTAGCCCAATTAAAGTGGGATTCATTTGAAATAGTGGCAGAACAGCATTCTAGCTTTAAGAAAAGTACAAGTATGCCATGCCTACGCATTATTGTCCCATTACATCTCTGGTAGAATGTTTCTCATGTACATACTTCTTGAAATATAGTTTATAATATAAAACATGTTAAAATAGCAAAAGTAATTTAAATTGTAAAGCATCTATGGTCTGTTTAGTTTTAAATTCTGATATGGCACTTCCCTCCTCTCACAACATTCGCTATTTTCATTTGTTGCTGCCCTCTATATGCAAACTTTTTTATTATTATGCATGCCACAAGCCTTCCACACACCCTATTGGAACCTCTCATGCAAATCATCATGCGTCACTTCTCCACCAATATGAGAATAGTACACTCATGTGATACATATGACTTCCTCTGTGCACCTCTATTGAATTATCACTTTTTGTTTCTCAGTGCTTGCACTCAGACATTTTTTTTTCATCTTGATTACTGTTTGAGATTGAACTAGTTCTCGAAGTGATTTAATATCACATACTTATTTTTTTTGATACTTTCAGGTTCAATTATCCTTGTTCTAGTCACATTTATTACTTGCTGTACATATCTCGACTGTACATATCTCGACCAACAACTGTTGGGTTCAGTTCTACCCATTTGGGGGCAGGTCCCAATTGTGTTAGTCTCACCCATGCCAATTTTTCCCACCTGTCTTACCCTCACGACTCTTTTGTGGTAACTTTCCACAATCCATCTCCTGTCTGAGGCTATTCACAGACATTCTGAAGGATTTTCTAGGGACATCCTCTCCCTCCTTACCTCCATGTTGACCCATTTTTCATCTTCGGCTCTGGCTTTACAAACGTGGGTTTATCTATTCTCGGGACCTTTTAGGTTGTGATGCTGTTTTATCAAGGACACGTTTACCTGCTCCTTATCCCTGGGTTTTGTGTATGGCTCCATTTTATAAACATTTTATCTTTGATATGATCCAAGCATCCTTGGAGTTTTAGGTGGCATCTGTCCAGCAAAAATCTACCCTTTTCTATCTGGTAACCTATTTATCTCAGTTTGAGCCGAATGTGGTGCCGATTCTGGCTTCCCGTCCTTCCCCTTCCCAACCCTTACATGTCCCTCCTTCTTGTGAGACCACAGCTCGTCGTTTTTCTCGACGATGCACAATAGTTGCCATCTGGTGGGTTCAAGCCCAGTGGAGGACTCATCTTGCAACCTTTGTTCATCGGTGATATCCTTTCATCACCAATTACAAGTTCCAAGCTGCTGAGGTGGTCAACTATGGAGGCACCCTGCTGAATGGGTTCTACATAAGATGGCTATAACCATTCAGTTCAGAGTAGGGCAGTGGTGTCTGCCAGTGTAGATGATGTAATATTCTCCAATTTGTGATTAACCATACAAAGGAATGAGACATTAAAATGCAGTTCACCCCTTCGATTGGGAGCCTCCCACCCCATCCTACCCTCACATGGATGTTGGTACCCCACAGGCTGGTTTTGGATTTCGAGTGAACCAATCAACATAAGTCCTCACACAGGTTTAGGGTTGTCCTTCTTCCTCCATCAATTTCCTCCTGCATTGTGGGTCACAGCAGGGATATGTGGGATTATGCTGACTCTATCCTTGGCTCTTCCTCATTCTCACTTATTACGTGGATGTTATTGCCCTTTGGATGGTCTCAGCTTGTATCACGTTTGCAGGAGTTGATTACATGCAATAGACTTCCTTCTGATACTGGATGTAAAATTCCCAGATCTATAGCTCAGAACTAATCCTGTGTAATACCCAGGAATCGGAGTGGTTCTCATTTCCTGGTTCTTGGGTTTGAGGTGTAGATGATATGATTTTCATCCTACCCTCGCATGAATGTCAGTACCTCCCGAAGTAGTTTTGGATGTAGATGATTTACCAAGTACAGTCTGCCATGCCATAGCCACTCTATACCATGGGATGTATCTTGTTTACTTATTGTGGTATTGAGTCACTATATCTTTCTCTGATTAGGATCACATTCTCTCCCATTCAGATGTGCTTCTCTCATTTGTTGCCATAATTTCTTACACATTCCACACATGGGCGAATAGTATACCTGAATCATAAGTGGTGAGATTCCCCTGTTTGGATCTGACTCTCTCATGTACAGAGGTATCCTTTGGATGCTTTGTGCAGTACATCTACTCTTCCCTTGCACTCGTCTCTCCTCCTAATCAATGTGGGATTCTACCTAATCTTGTGTTTGTTTGTTTTGAATTTCGTGCAAGGCTACATTTGGGCTATCTAAGCTAGCCATCCCTAATTTAGCAGTGAAAGATCAGAGGGAAGGCAGCTAGTCATCACCACCTACCACCAACTCTTGGGCTACTCTTTTACCAACAAATAGTGGAATTGACAATCACATTATAATGCCCCCACGGCTGAAAGGGTGAGCATGTTTGGTGGAACAGGGATTCGAACCCATGACCCGCAGATTGCGAGTCGAGCTCCCTAACCACCGGGCCATACCAGGCCAGCTAATCTTGTGAGATAAGGTAAGTAACGTATCATAAGTTAATTTTCCTATACTTAAAATGTATTTCTGAAATGTACTTCCTTACTCTCACACTTCCTACTCTTTCTCCCCACTTACTTCTGGTGCTTCCGTCATCAAACTTCAAAGTGATAGTTCAGTAGAGGTGCATCGAGGGAGTCACATGTTTCACATGAGTGTACTGTTCTCCTATTAGTGGAGAAGAGATGCATCATGATTTGCATGAGAGACGTATTTGATTCCAATAGGGGTGTGTGGAAGGCTTGTGGCATGCACAATAAAAAAACTTTGCATATAGAGGGCAGCAACAAACGAAAATAGCAAATGTTGTGAGAAGAGAGAAGTACCATATCAGAATTTAAAACTAAACAGACTATAGATGCTTTACAATTTAAATTACTTTTGCTATTTTAACATGTTTTATATTATGAACTATATTTCAAGAAGAATGTACATGAGAAACATTCTACCAGAGATGTAATGGGACGATAATGCATAGGCATGGCATACTTGTACTTTTCTTAAAGCTAGAATGCTGTTCTGCCACTATTTCAAATGAATCCCACTTTAATTGGGATAAATACATTCTGGCACTTCTTTATTTAGCACTAGAACACTGCATTCTACTACCTGTTTTCAAGGAGGATGTATACAAGAAACAAGAAAGAAGCGATGTATGAAGATTTGAATGAGAGTCACATTGGAATCATTTTATTCCAATTGGGGGATGCAGAAGGCTTGTGGCATGCATAATAAAGAAGTTTGCATATAGAGGGTAGCAATGAATGAGAATAGCTTATCTTGTCAAGAGAGGGAAGTATCTATCGGAAATACATTTTCAGCATAGGAAAATTATATCATACAATATGGTACTTCCCTCATTTCATAAGATTAGCTGGTCTGGCATGGCCAGGTGGTTAGGTAGCTTGGCTCTCAATCTGAGAGTTGTGGGTTCGAATCCCCATTCCACCAAACATGCTCACCCTTTCAGCCAAGGGGGCATTATAATATGATGGTCAATTCCACTATTTATTGGTAAAAGAGTAGCCCAAGAGTTGATGGTAGGTGGTGATGACTATCTGTCTTCCCTCTAGTCTTTCAGTGCTAAATTAGGGACGGCTAGCTTAGATAGCTCTTATGTAGCCTTGCACGAAATTCAGAATAAACAAATGCAAGATTAGGTAGAATCCCACATTGATTAGAAGGTGGAACCGGTACGAGGGAAGAACAGACGTATTCCTCGAAAGAGTCTCCGAAATATACCTCTGTAGATGAGAGAGTCAGATCTGAAGAGGGGAACTACACCACTTCTGATCCACGTTTAGTCTTTGCCCTTATGTGGAACATGTAAGAAATTGTGAGAGGAGGGAAGTATCTATCGGAAATGCATTTTTGGTATTGGAAAATTATAACTTTTTAAAATTCTCTAAATAAATTAAGATTTATTATGATTTCTATGTTTATATCTTGTGTTAATTTTTAACTGTTATGGGCCATATTAATGGTGGGGCAGTGCACCTGGGTGCCAACCACGTGGGTCCCTGGTTCAAAAAGAAATTTTGGAATTTTTATGCACTTGTATTTATTAAGGGGGCAAATGCTATTCTACTGCCTCAGGCCTCATCTGACCTAAATCTGCCATGCTCTTAATTAAGTTTATGTAAAACCAAGCAAATACTTGTGTTTATATTCAAATGTTACTCAAGTTTGAAAATTTTACAAATATGTGGAATATTCCAGTTGTAATGTGACAGCTTTAAAGTTATTTCTCTAGAAAAAGCAAAATTACATACTATGTAGAAAAACAACAACAACAAAAGACCAGCTGTATAACATAGAAACTGTATTATATTTATTGTTGAGACAGCATAAAAATGTATTTTAGCTTTAAATTGCTGTCAATCAATCAGAGAAACTACCTTAATATCACAACTACCTTTTTAGCTTTAAATTGCTGTCAATCAATCAGAGAAACTACCTTAATATCACAACTACCTTTTCGTGTGTCGTAGCTGTTCAAAATAACACTTCTAATTGTTTAAATCACTGGTGTTCTTCAAAAATCTGTAAACTTATTTCTTTTACTTTTGGTTTCAAAATGTTTTTATGTTTGCTAAATCTGTGTTTTGTTTTGTGAATTATTGGACTTTGTAAGTCAAGATATGCACTAGAAAACAAAAACAAATTATAAATATTGAATATAGCACTACAGAAAAAAAATCAAAATATTACTGCTAAAGAATGTACATAAACTAAAATATTATTAAATAACTGTGAGACTGATAGTAAAGCAATAAGTGTCCATACAAATAAAAAGCAACAACCCCCAAAACCCAGTGTAATTTTCATAAGGCTTTTGCACAAAACACTACTTAATTAGTCTACCCTTTCCTTTCCAAAGTCCATCAATCACACACAGACTGTGACTTCTGAGGGCTTATCTGAGTGATTGAAACAGATGGGAATTTTTTGTGAAATATATTAATTACAAATTTTTTTTGCTTGTATTTTAAGGTTTGCATGTGATGTCTTGTCTTATTGGACAAACACTGTATCTTTAATGCAGTATAATAGTAACAGAAGAAATACTGTGTTCTTAATATGGAAGATGTAATTTCACAAAGACTATTTTAATATGACATTGTTATGATAGTACAAGGGCTGTATTTTAATATGGTTTAGTAGTTATACTACCAAGGTTGTATCTTAATATGGTATAGTAGTTATACCACAAAGGTTGTATTTTAATATGGTATAGTAGTTATACCACAAAGGTTGTATTTTAATATTGTATAGTAGTTATACCACAAAGGTTGTATTTTAATATGGTATAGTAGTTATACCACAAAGGCTGTATTTCAATATGGTATAATTGTGATAGCACAAAGGCTATATTTTGATATAGCTTTGTAGCTCATAGACCTAGGATATTACGTTTAACCCCTAAACGTAGGATAATTGACAGTTAAAATTAACAAATGTAATGACAAAACTTTAAACAAGATTAGATCTCAACAATTATGTAAGCCCAATGACTTTGGTACACATTCTTGGAACACTATAATTATGTTCTTCATGATTTATTGTTTGTTTGGTTTCAAATTTCGTGCAAAGCTATACGAGGACTATCTGCACTAGCTATCCGTAGTTTAGCAGTGAAAGACTAGAGGGAAGACAGCTAGTCAACACCACCTACTGCAAACTCTTGAGCTACTCTTTTTTTACTAATGAATAGTGGGATTGATCATCACATTATAATGCCCACACAGCTGAAAGGGTGAACATGTTTGGTGGAATGGGGATTCGAACCCATGACTCTCAGATTGATAGCCAAGCTACCTAACCACCTGGCCATGCTGGGCTCATTCATAATTTATCAAATTATCAATTGTCTAATGCTGAGAAATGGGTCTTTTCAACAGGATTAAATTTTTCTATTACACCTAAGAAAGTTACAGGAAAGCATTATTTTATATGTTATGAAATTTATAAAACAAATGTCTAAGTGTTAATTTGGTAAAAATAGATGCACAACTTTGAACATTTTAAAACAAAAGTTGGTGATTGTGTTCTTGAATGATACAAGATTTTTGACCTAAAACAAAAACAATAATGTAAGCAAGGCTGTTAGAAACTATAAGGATATTGTAATCATTGAACTTGATAAAGGTATTAGAATTGTGATTTTAATTAAGTAAAGTAGACTACATTAAGAAAGTATAAGCTATTCTAAATAGTATTGATCAGTTTATACAAATGGAAGCCAAATTCACAAGGTAGTTTTCAAAGTTGAAAAATAGACACCATGATAATGGAATAAGTTTTCCAAAAATCAGACCAGTGGGCTCACAAGTATTATATAGAATTCCTAAGATTCAACAACAGAACTGTCAAGTTAAACCAATGGTTTCTAGACACCTATAATGAACTGTTAGCGAGATATTTGACTCTATGTTTTTGGAAGAGTTTGTTCATAATGTATACTCTGTTAAAGAATGTTCTGAATATATCTAAGGGTAAAACAAACACAGTTTAATGATGTTGTTTTTTGTGAATTTCCAGTTTTGCCATACATGAGGAAAGTGGAAATCTCACTGTTAAAACAAATGATCATGGATTTAACAGAGAAAAAGTTTCAAGTTTTTATATTACAATCATTGCTCGAGACAATAATGGAACTGGCAATCGCAACACCTTATTGTTTAAAATTATACTACTGGATGCAAATGACCAAGCTCCAACTTTTGTACTCCAAGCTTATAAAGCATACATGTTTGAAAATGATGGGAAATTTACAGAGAATTTGATACTGTTGGTAAGATATCTTACACAAATATACCATAAGGAATGTGGTACAAAGCAGTTAAAGATTTCAGTTTAATATTTACTTAGTGTTTTTTATAATATCTGAAACTTTCTGTTATATTAGTACTTTGTTACAAGTTCATACTATTTAGTGGAATACATGAAGACTTTTACTAGGTTAGATCTCTGTTCAGTATTCAAGTGTTTATTATAATACTTGTGAACATCTGCAATAGTACTTTGTTACAAGCTCATACCGTCCATTATAATACCTGTGAATGTCTGCAATGTTTGTATTAAGTTCATACTGTCTATTATAATACCTGTGAATGTCTGCAATGTTTGTATTAAGTTCATACTGTCTATTATAATACCTGTGAATGTCTGCAATGTTTGTACTTTGTTACAAGTTCATACTGTTTAGTATGATACATGAAAGTTTGGTATATCATCAGAG